AATTTACCTTTATTCGCTTTCTGAGGGACTACTATATCCGAGGCTTAGGCTAACTTTTTTTAAAGGTGGTTTCTATTCTTGTGTTACAGTATAACAGGTTACCAACTTTATTGCAGGCTGTGATACAAGGTAGAAACTTTAACTTAAACAATACTTGGTAAACTTATACACTCTGGGAATACTTGGAGGTGTGAAGTATAAATATTGCATTTCTAGGTGTTCCTTGGGTGTATAAGGTTCTAAGATATATTATTATATAAATGCGAATTGGTTGTCTTATTCAATATTTTTTATGTATGTATTTTTCGTAGTACTATTGTAATTTCGAGGTTTTATAAACATGGTTGACTTTTTCTGTATTTTTAAATTAAATTAAAATTATTTTTATTATTTATACAATCGTATTATATTTAGGTATAATATTATTTTCACGTTTCGTACAACACTTAAGCTTACCACCTGCATTTGGTTTTAATATATGTATTGGGGGACGACGCACTATGGAAAATTTATGTAGGTCTGTCTCGAATCAAAAATCCATAACTTTTTTTTTGAAAATATACATAGACATAAATAGACTAGATTTCAAATAGATTAAATGGATTATTTTTATTTGAATTTATTTTTATACATTTTAATTAAAAAAAAAGTTGGACAACTGGCTTTTGACAGTTACCGATGCTTTAAATGTAATGTTAATTTGTAGCCTAGGTATTCATCTGAAACATTTATAAAAATTAGCTGTTAGTTTTTGCTAATTCCGAAGTTCTTCGAAAAATATTGTGTCAAAGCCTTGGCTTACTTCAAGCGGACAACAAAAATATAAAAGTTTGCCGATTTTTTTTTAAATGTGTTATACCTTTAATGGACCTGAGCATAGATCTCATTTTTTTGGATTTGGAAGCACAAGGGCCGCGCTATGAGCTTTAGTATGTAGAATATAAACTCCTGGACAAAATTAACGCAACATCATAAATTTGTCACATTTTTTATGCTATTTATTTTTTTAATTTAGGATCCGATTTTAATGATTTTTTTTGCATTGTAGGTTGGTGCCTTGACAATGTTATAATTTTCGCTGTTTATGATAAAAAGTTAATTTTCGATTTATACTGGGTGTAATAAAAATGTAATGTTTTTTTCCGAAAATTCGTATCCCCTGTGAAGTATACTAGCAACCGAAACCTATAGCGAAAACTGCTTATTAAACGTTCGTTTCGTATTTTAATCTTGAAAAATGAATCGTCTAAAAAATTTTTCGACAGAAGAAGCAGTAAGAGACTTAAGTTTGATGGATGAGGGCTATTCGATGTCATGTTGCTAATGTGATAGAAAGACATCGTTCGACTATAAGTCGTATGGTTAAACGATTTAACGAGACAGGATCTTACTCTTCAAGGTCAGTACAAGGGCGAAAACGATGTACCGATCCAAGGGATGAGCGTTTTATTAGGCAAACTGCTCTAGAAACAGGAAGATTACTAGTACTAGGCTAAAAAGTGAGCTTAGAACTGCTCGCCATAATACAATATCGTCTCGAACAATCATGATTGTGATCCTGCAGGAGACGTTTGAATGAGGCAGGTTTAAGCAAGAGAAGACCGGCAAAGAAACAATTACTTACCAGAGAGCACATAGTTTCAAGATTGCGTTTTGCCAGAAATTATCAACATTGGACTGTTAATGATTGGAAGAAGGTTTTATTTTCTGATGAAACGAGAGTTAGTCTCAATTCTCCTGATGGTGTGAACGTGTTTGGCGAAGGTCAGGAGGGAGATTTGCAAGTGGCAATATCTCTCCTAAAATCCCATTTGGAAGGCTCTGTAATGTTTTGGGGAGGAATATGCTTCAACGGACGCACAGAGTTAGTCCCTATAAGTGTAAGATCAATGAACGCCGATTATTATCTAGAAAATATTGTAATTGAACATGTAATGCCATTTGTTCCTTTTTTGGGACCGAATAGTTTATTTATGCAGGATTATGCATTTATCAAAGCGAGCAGAAATTATACAATTATACAGATAACAAATAATCTAAACATCTCTTGAAATGTCAGAAAAGGTCCATAGCCTACTTGAAAACATTTAACAATGATTGTTTTGAATAATAAAGTCTATAAAAACATGTTACGGTATAAAACGGCGTATCTCCTTTAATAACAGAGATAATGAAGTAAACCAAAAAAGAAAATGTTGGCGAAAGATGAACCTACCGTCAACTGTTATATGTTTCGGTTGCTAGTATACTCCACAGGGTGATACGAATTTTCGGAAAAAAACATTACATTTTTATTACAACCGGTATAAATCGAAAATGAACTTTTTATCATAAACAGCGAAAATTATGACATTTTCAAGGAACCAACCTACAATGCAAAAAAAAATCATTCAAATCGGAACATAAATTCAACAAAAAAATAGCATAAAAAATGTGGGAAATTTTTTGATGTTGCGTTAATTTTGTCCAGGAGTTTATATAGGTATGTAACCTACCTGGTATATAAAAAATAAAAAAATAGAACATGATTTTTGTAGCTAATTTTATGCTCTTTTACGTCATAAAACCAAATTTATATATATATATATATATAATAGGGTGATTCAAAAAAAGCCTTTTTTTAAAAATGAACCCGCACTGGCCTAAATTATAAAGATTACATTAAAACTAAAAGATTAATACCAAAAAATCCAAATTCAATGAATATTTAGAGGTCGCTCAAATCGATTTTCGTATTTTTGCACATTCGAGCCGCGAAATTATTACTGCGCAAAATAGTAAATAACTCCGTTAGTTTTTATTCGATATTATTAAAAATTTAAGGGTTACCTAGTTTTTTAATACCCTCTGAGACAGTGAATTAAACTTTACGGAAAAAAAATTTTTTTCATGAAAAAAAAAATTATTTGTTAATAAAAACGTATCATCTTATAAAATAAGCAACAATTGGAATCGCACTATGATGGTACCGTAAAAAAACTAAGAAAATAACACTTAAATTATTTAGCATACATAAAACCTGCCGAAAGAAATATTTTATTTGATTTATATAAAACATAACCTAATAATAACTAAGTTATTCAAATATTTCCCATTTTCATACGATTTTATAAATAATTTATATCCGTTTTATTAATTATGACGTATTTTTATAAAATTTCTTTATTTTTGATACCATATTTAATTAATTACACTAAGTAGTTATTAGTTTATGTCCTTTTTATAATTAAAATAAAAATAAATCCACTGCTCTACATTTTTTTCTTTGCAATGATTGTTTCTAATGTTAATTTTTTCAACCATTTTTTCTTTTGTTTCAGTAGGTACTCTTTTATCAAAAAATGCCAAACAAATTAGCTCTTCTATTTGCAAATCTATATTTTTGTAAACATGAAGTTCATGAAGTGTTTTCAAATCATTTTTGTGCGCGCAAGTTGCATTTAAAGCTTGGAACCAGGCAAATATGTAAACGAAATAATAAAAATACAAATTCTACGCAATGACTTATTTTCATTGTTAGTGAGTTTAAATTGATCCCGAAATAAGAAAATCTTTAGAGAGTATATAGCTTTGTTCATCCATCTGGTACTTAGACGCTTTGACCTCGAATAACTCTAGAAGAAATCAATTTATCGAAAAATAATAAGAGACCTTTTTTGTAGAGCGTTAAATTTTATATAGGAAACTGCAATGATCATTGCCATAAGTTACTTTGATACAGAGGTATAAAATTCCAAACATAAATTAATTTTTTCCCATGTTAATTCAATGGGAAACTAAAATAAAAACAGCGACCTCTTAGAGTTGAGCTGGAACGCCCATATTTGGTGAGGATTTTCTTTATATTAAATAAAAACATTTGAGAGGGTAAGAGCGAAAAAAAAATTTTTTTGAAGCACCCTAATGTATATATTTATATAATTTATCAACTACCTGGTAGTAGGTCCTACTATCAAAATTTAAGAATAATAATTATTATTGTGGTATGTCAATTTAGCAACATCTAGACAGAATCAAATAATTTTGGTATCAAAATTTGAGAATTGTTGTATGTCAATAATTTTAATAAAATTTAAATTTCTGCTTAAGCCATATCAATGCAGTGAATAATTTTGTAGTTAACGTTATTTTATGTTTGTTGTAAAAAGGACCTAATTTAATACCTAGTGTAATTAATTAAATATGGTATCAAAAATAAAGAAATATTATAAAAATACGTCATAATTAATAAAACGGATATAAATTATTTATAAAATCGTTTGAAAATGGGAAAAATCTAAATTAATTAATTATTTTTAGGTTATATTTTATATAAATCAAATAAAATATTTCTTTCGGCAGGTTTTCTGTATTTTAAATAATTTAAGTGTTATTTTCTTAGTTTTTTTACGGTACCATCATAGTGCGATTCCAATTGTTGCTTATTTTATAAGATGATACGTTTTTATTAACAAATTATTTTTTTTCATGAAAAAAAATTTTTTTTTTAAAAAAATATTTTAAAAATTTAATTTGGGATATTGACTACATTTTTTAGATTTCAAAGCACAGTAAAGCGCTACGAGCTTATAACGTGCACGTTACAAAATTTTAAAGTGAATCGCGTTTTCTGTAAAAATTGGGTGAATGCTTGTTTTAGTTAGACTTAAGTACCCAAATTTAAACAAAATCTGACAAATTTTATGCTTGTGTTGCCCGCTTGGAATGAAATGCCCTATTTATTATGAATTAAAAAAATCATTCTTAGTGTCACACCTCAATATTAATATTAAGAAGTCAAAGTATGAATTATTTTTTTAAACATATATCCGCTACATTTCCAAAACACTCCAATTAGGGACCACCCTAATTTGACATGTAATTACAAAATCTTTTTATTTTTTAGGTTGACAAAGTCAAAATTTTAGAAAACTAAAAATCCTCATGATTATTATATATAATCTGAGGATTATTATTTAGGAAGAAAGAAATTACAATTACAAAATAAAACGAACTAATTAATGTTAAATAGCAATCAACCTCCAGGAGTGAGACTTGATCCAATCGGAGCACCAAACAATGAAATTTTAGATGATAAACCTAACCAATTATGCTGCGACCATGCACATGTTCCTTTAGAAAAACTGACCAATTTGCAGGAAGAAAATGAATTGCTTAATTCTTCACTATTTGCTCTTACTACGCATTTTGCACAAGTACAGTTCCGATTAAGACAGGTTGTAAGTTCTTCTGATGGTGATGAGAATGTTTTAAAGGCGTTAGAGGATTTTGCTTCTACTGGAATACCAGATGTGGGTTTAATAAAAGAAAGAGAAAATGAAAATACTTTGAGCGAGGAAGTAAGAAAGAAAAGAGCTCATCAAAGAAAACTTTTACAAGATCTTAAACAAGAGTTTTGTGGGTTAAAACAAGATGCTCTTAAAAAAAAGGAAGAATTTCCGGATGAGTTATACGATAAATTCCAAGGGCATTTAAATTTATCCAGGTCTAATTACAAGAGAACTCCGAAAGACTTTAGTAAAATTGTTGACAAAGCGTGGAAAAAGCTAGAAAAATCCTCAAAGACAAAAGATTATTTAATAAGTGAACTAAAAGTGCAGCTTGAGGACTTGGAAAGATTTATTAAATACCTACAAGAAAACAAATTACAAATAAAACAAAACGAAAAAACTTTGCAAACTAAAAAAGTTTCGGAAAGTCTAAGCTTATTTCAAACTTCTAAATCAATAATAAGAATGGTTTTTGCTGTATACGGCTACGACAGGAATAAATATTTCAATGGGTTTAAACTAAATAAAAGAAATAACGTAAGCTGGATAGACCTAAGAATAAAATTGGAAGAATCCATAATAAAAATAAAGGAAGTATACGATTTCGAATCAGAAAAAGAATACGATTATGTAAGTGATGAAGAACATTGCACAGTGAAGTGTAATGTAGCTCTACTTACTGCGATAAGGCAAGAATTAATACCAAGCATCAGAGATTTAATAGAGCATGGATCTGCCAATCTTGAGTCTACTATGGTGCCAATTATCGGTTGTATACCTTGGTTACCTTATAAATCTAATACGATGCATGCTTGGGACATAATATTAAAATACTACAAAATAAAGAATGGAGAGCAATACAATTTGAAACCATCAAGAAAGCTTTCCAATAGTTTTAATCTGAATATCGAGAAGACGTTAACAGAAACTGAACGAATTTTAAAAACTATTGGTAAAATTATTGATATGCACGCTCCTTATAAGAGAAAGCCCAATATGTATTTTAAGTCTTTTATTTCTGAAGCTTTAAACAACAATAAACTTAGTTTATGGATGAATATAATATTTCAAAATGGCAAGCTGATTAAATCATGCTATTTAGCTTGGAGTTACGTTAGCCAAACTAGATTTCAAGATGTTTTAGGAAATTTCGATAATTTAAAAAAATTTAATTTTAATTTACCCATTAATTTAGCCGTAAAACAATTCGAGGAAATTGAAGATGTGATATGATAAACATTTTTGTAATTGTAAATATAGCATTGTACCTGAAATATTAATTAGGTACCTATATTAAAATGTATGATAAATAGTTCTAATTATTTACTACTACTTATTTCCAAAATCTAAAAAATGTAAAAATTTTTATAATAAATACGTGGTGGGTATGTCATTTTCTGAAAATGTGACAACTCCAAAGTTGTGTAAATTAGTAGGTATATAGATTACGAATATTTAATAAAATTTCGTTAGTGTGAAGATTACAATTACAAAATAAAACGAACGACTATAATTTATGTTAAATAGCAATTAACTTTCAGGAGTAAGGCTTGATCAAATTGGAGTAGGTACCAAGCAATGAAATTTCATATGACAAACCAGATCAATTATGCTGCGACCATGTATATATTCCTCTAGAAAACTAAACAAATTGCAAAAATAAAACTCTTTACTGTTTACTCTTACAATGCATATTGAAAGTAAGACTGGTTGTATATTCTTCTGATGAAGATGAAGAAGGCGTTAGAGGATGTTGCTTCTACTGGAATACCAATTGTGGGTGTTTATAAAAAAATAAAAAATTTGAGAAAAATAAACAAATGAGCAAGAAAGTAAAAAAAATCATCAAAGAAAACTGTATTAAAATTGTATTAGACAAGATGCTCTAAACAATTTTTTCTGAATGAGGGGTTATATTATATGGTAATTTAATAATATATATAGTTATATGATTTATCCTTGAAAAACTATTAAATCCAAAGTATAAAAAAGGTTGTATGATTTGATTGAAATTAAACCACACTAAAAAAAACAATTTTTAAACTCTTCAGAAATCTTTTTATTAAGTTTATTATTAAGAATACAAAAACTTTTTTTTACTAATTATAGTTTTAACTTTTAGATTATTAAGTTTTGATGGTTAAAATATGCAATTTTTAAATTTTAATTTAGTTATCAAAATATTTAATATAAATTAAGATGTAATAGAATCAGAGTCGTTACCTACTAGTACAAGAAGTACTCGAGTAAAAGTTCAAGTATACTTACTATACACCTATAGGTGTTTGAGTATCCAGTACAGAGTACTTCTACAAAAAATTGCAATAATTACAAGTACAAGTACTGGTACCAGTGGCGGCTTTTAGTCAGTGGGGTAAGGAGGCTAAAGTACAAGTAAATTTTTTAGGCATTTGCCATTCTTACTAGTCTGTTTGTGTTCCCATAAAAAAGATTTTTTAACAGAAAATTAACACAAAACGAAGAATACAACAAAAAATAGTTTAATTATGACAATTATTTACTGATTAATTCCTAGACTTTTTAAATGTGTGCATAGGTATGTTATTAGGCCAAGTAGTAAGTCCTTTGTGCTGATCTAAAAGTTTAAACAATTGAGCGAAGCCTAAAAGACTCTTCTTGGCCCTCAAAATTTTATCTTTAAGGCAAAATTTTATTTGTTAAACGATATCGTACACATAAAACAATTTATTTAAAGTATACTTTGGGTCAGTTCAATGTCCTCCAAAAACCAACATTTACCCTCCTTGTCCCGCTCTCCACTAGCCTAAACTGGGCGTATGGCCCGACCCGGCGACAAAAATCCGGGAGTGGCATCGACACTGTCATCCACGACCTCCTAGGGTAGATCTACCAACGGGCGTAAAAACATCGGATCCAACAAACACAGGTAATGCTGTGCAGTGGCGGGATACGTAGGAGAACGGAAAGGGGGTAAAATTACGAAGGCGTAGAAGGGCCAACAAAAATTTTACAAATTTTAGCCAAAACTAACTTTGATTTTTGCAATTTCTATTCTATAATTGTAACTTGAACCTACAATTGTAACTTGAACCTACAATTGTAACTTGAACTTACAATTGTAACTTGAACCTACAATTGTAACTTGAACTTACAATTGTAACTTGAACCTACAATTGTAACTTAAACCTACAATTGTAACTTGAACTTACAATTGTAACTTGAACCTACAATTGTAACTTGAACTTACAATTGTAACTTGAACCTACAATTGTAACTTGAACCTACAATTGTAACTTGAACCTACAATTGTAACTTGAACCTACAATTGTAACTTGAACTTACAATTTTATCTTGAACCTTAGACTGGGCCAAAAAAATCAACTATTTTTTTTTAAGTATGGTAGGTATATTAAGAGGTCTATCATCGCAATTTTAATTTTTTTTTCCTCAGCAAGTTTTTGTCTCAGAACTCCCAAACCATTGAGTTTAACAAAATTGGCTCGAAAATATTATTTTAAGAAAATTAAATGCTCTAAATTATAGTAGATAATAAATTGCACCACTTTAATTTGAATTATCTTAAATAGGGGGGCCTGGAGGCGGGTGAGGCGACAGGAAAAACTAACTTTTTTTCTCAAACTTCAATTTAAATTCTGTTTGAGCCGAACTTGTCTATTTATAAACTATTATAAATTTGGTGTGGGTCCCATGTCTAATAACTGAAATATTGGTATACCCAAAATCCACCAGCCGCCACTGCAATATTCCAAAGTTAAAAGAAATTGTAAAACTAAACCAATTTTTAAGGCATGATTGTAAGAAAACGGTTCATCTGACGGGAAATTCCAATAAAACCTTTTTTGTAGAACATTCAATTTTCTTCAAAAAATATTCTTAAGTCAATTTTGTTAAACTCAATGATTTGGGAGTTCTGAGACAAAAACTCTCTCAGGAAAAAAAAATCTTAATATTAATATTATGGACTCAAACTTTCACAATATTTTTTTTTGTCACCCCAAACCATATTTTCAAAAAAAAATAGTTGATTTTTTTGGCCCAGTCTATTGAACCTACAATTGTAACTTGAACTTACAATTGTAACTTGAACTTACAATTGTAACTTGAACTTACAATTGTAACTTGAACTTACAATTGTAGGTTCAAGTTACAATTGTAGGTTCAAGTTACAATTGTAGGTTCAAGTTACAATTGTAAGTTCAAGTTACAATTGTAAGTTCAAGTTACAATTGTAGTTTCAAGTTACAATTGTAGGTTCAAGTTACAATTGTAGGTTCAAGTTACAATTATAGAATAGAAATTGCAAAAATCAAAGTTAGTTTTGGCTAAAATTTGTAAAATTTTTGTTGGCCCTTCTACGCCTTCGTATAAAATAACCCTGGGAGATTAGTGTAAGGTAATGTCGATGGGGCCTGCCATACGTCCCCATACTCATACTCATCTAACTAAAACGATGATCTTTATATAAATGCAACACACATTGAAGGTGTACATTTTTTGTTTGTTTATTAAATATCAAAACTAATCAATGCATCGCCTACCCGTAATTATCCGGTGGAAAATCTAGAATCTCTCATCTGACTGAGGATAGCCTCCCATATCGTATAAAATCGAAAATAGGTTAAGTGCGTCGCGCCGTTAGGCCCAGAGATAAAAAAGGTTAGGCCGGGCCTAATAGGCCCACGGACTTCTCTATACCAGGCGGGAGTGTAGGAGGCCGATCTGATCAACGTGCGCCTATTGTATTAAATTGCTTTGCAACCAAAGTTATGAATTATTATTGCTTTTAAGGAGTATTTTTTACTAAAGCAGTGGACAATGCATGACTACATATTCTATCAAAATCAGCAGAACAATATATACAAGTAATTTATTGAAAACAAACAGAAACAGCTATTAAAATAGTAATTTATTTAAAACAAACACAAAAAATAATTCTTTAATTTTAAAATAACAATTGTTTTGGCTTTGTATATTTGAAATAAGTAAAGTCTAATTTTTATAATATGGAATATTAAATAATAATTTTTTTAAGTTTAATTTTATAAAAAAAATTAGTTTAATTTATCTATTACTATTAAATATAGAAATTATACTCTTTTTAATATTAAAGTTTACTTAAAATAAAAAAAAGTTTTCAACAAAAAATAGCAGATTTAATTTAAATAAACACAAGTAAACTTATATTTGATTTGAATTAAGACTATAATATTTTTGCGTATATAACCATAAAAATGTTAAATGTTAATGTAAATGATTATTTTTGTGTGAATGCTCTTAAAATAGTAATTTATTTAAAACAAACATAGAACTGCTAATAAAATAGTATTTATTTAAAACATCAAATTGTTATTAAAATAAACAATACGACGGTAAGCTACTGCAAAGTTTTTAGTTTCCAAATTTTTAACATCTAAGGGGATCTGGTCATACCTTGCCGATTCTATCCCCATCAGACTTTAGGCCCGAATTTTTCTTTCCGATTTTATTATCTGCATAACTCTTTGTCTTTTGGAAATTGAAACACTGGCACGTACACTTTTTCTGTTGAATTATTTGCCGAAGCATAATTGAGGAGGTGCATTCCAAAACTCGGCTTATCCATATTAGTTGTTTTCGAGCAAAATGTCAAAAACCTTACACGTGAGTACTAACGCATATCAGGCAAACACAATACTTTAAACAAAATATAAAGGCATAAGTAAAACATTTATATACCTTGATTAAAAAGGTATAGCTCCAGTTTAAAATAATTTAAAATTACATACGTATATGCCGAGTTCTGCATGATATAACCAATAGATAAGATAAGTTTTGGAACGATAGTCAATTTGTAAATAAATTTTAAATGGAATAACGTTAGTTTTAGAATATTATAAACTTTTTAGGGTAAAGGGGGATACATATTAAATGTACAGACACCACTAACTCATTTTTGTTAAAAGTTTTGGAATGTACCTCCTCAATTGCTATTGCAATTGGGAACATTTTCTTGTCATGTTTAGTTACCTATGCATAACATGTATACAGGGCCGAGCCTAGGGTATCTGCCGCCCGGGTGCAAGAATTAAATTTGCCGCCCCCATTAATGTAAAAAATTAGGTTGTCGGTAGGGAAGGAGTTCATAATTTATCATTCTCAATAAACATATAACAAATTTTATAGTAAAATAACAAAGTATTTATTAACAAATACATAAAAGAATAAAATAAAAATACATTCAGGAAAAAAAA